TGTATATAGTTTTTCCCTATACTGTCCTATGACAATCAATAATTGAATCATTGCGAAATTACATTTTTTTTTAAATTTAAGAAAAAAAAAACTTTTTATTGAAATTATAATATGATTTACTTGGATATAAATTAATTGATTTCATATTAATTTCATATTAATTTAGAATCGACAATTAACTGTAATTTGCATAAATGCCGGTGTTCGAAATATACATCAATCAATAATTGCTTTCGGTATATAAAATAGACCCTATACCTTACTCAGTTGCAGACGTCGGCAATGCGTTCAGATTGAATCTCGATTTTCAGTTTATTTATTCCACTTTTAAAGTAATTGCCATTCTCTCCGATTCGACGCGAATAATTGCCTTTGATGGGAGCAAAGTTTGCTGCGAACAAAAAAAAAGAAGTGGCTCTTTTTCGATGGGCTATATACAATAGCAATCGAAAGAGATGGAACTGGAACTAATATAATGGTATCAAGGTATAGCGAATTGAAAATTGATTGGGATACTTTGAAGCTTTCGCTCAATCAGTTTAGAAGTGCATTGAATACACATCATAAAATTGTTAATTTAAAAGAGTGAATTTTTATCTTTATAAAAGTAAATTAAATTTGTAGTATATATTTATATTTTAATCAATAATTTAAAAATTACAGTTCTATCATTATCCCAGATTGTTTGAGACCAAATTAATCAAGGAAATAAATATATACCAAAATAAAACTCACAAAATGCCGCATTATGTGAGGTATTGCTATAAATTATGAAATTCAAGTTGACTAAAATTTTAACAAATTATTAGAAATGACACCCGATTTTAACGTTTCCTCATTTAAAGTTGATTCGATATAGCGCGGTCTATTCGAAGCCTAGAAAGGTTCCTATTTTATCTATTTACTATATTGTTAAATTGACTATTTCCAATATTTTGTAGACTTAATTAGCGTTATTTATAAGGCAGAATCTAAATTCTACAAAAAATTATAACTTTTTATAAAAAAATCTGTAATTAATGAATAAAAATCTACGGCTTATTTCCTTCTTCCAATTGATTTACTTACATTTTTGTATTACTTACATATTTTTAAGTATCAACTTTTGTTTTATCAAAATTATTAAGACAATGTATATATATATTCAAGATTTTTGTATATTATGTAAATTTTGTATTTAATGACTTCTATACTATTACTTGGGTTTTGGGATTAAATTATTACCATTACATTTATAATTTAATAAATAATAGCTCATATAACATATAATCTTGTATTATTTAAATACTTAACTACTCTGAAACTTTGTAAATCTTTTATGGTTTTTTGCTAGAGAAACTACAAAACCATACACGATTTACAAATAAAAATTGATGTTTTTCCCTACTTCTTCTACGTTCATTTTAAAAATAATCCTGAAATGATAATAAAAAAACGATTACTTTCAATTTCTTTCTCGTTTTTATTGGAATGGGTATATTGAATCTGTTTAACAAGTAATAGAAGATTGCATAACATCATGGGAAGGGTGTGCAAGTTATGTCATAACTATCCAGGAGGGACCCTGGGGAGGCAAGGGCAGACATATCCCAAAAGGACATGAATTTACACTCACGGAGTACGGGACGCCGATCAATCTCGGTCCTACCGGAGGCTACGTCCTTTATCTTCGTCAGGATATCAGAACGCGTTTCGCCCAAATCCTCCAGCGTTTCACGCAAATAAAATGAATTGCACGTGATCATTGTGCAATCTTTCAATTACGACGGTCACAAAACGAATAAAAATACATGTTAGATGTTCGAACAAGTATATGTTTATTTAGTTTACTTCATAATAATTAATCCCCAACACTAACTATGAAGTATATAGATTAATTTTCTTTCCTATACAATTTTCCCAAAAGAGGATTATAGTCAAAGTATAATCCCAAACATTACGGCACAGTCTCAAAAAGACTAGTGGGTATTTGTTAAGAATTAAGATTTGATGACTTGCCACCACAGTTTTCTTGTTGGGCGGTTATATCCGCCACTAGTCCGAAAAGTATTAAGATCTCGTTGGAAGGTAAAAAAAAGAGATTTGTAAAGGCAGTAAAGATACAATTCAAATTAATAAACAGAAAATACAATAAATTTAATAGTATTGGCACTTGAAAATTGATTAATATTAAAAAATGTGTCAATAAGATGTTTACATCAAATACAGCATTTTTATTTCTACATTGTATATACTGTCTCTATATAGCAAATAACTAATGTTTACTTTTTAGAGGATTTATAGAATGGGACCCAAGACATTTCCCAGTTGGACTCCTGCTGCTGTAATTGGATACAGTTTAGTTTGTTCTTCTTCGAGTTTTAGTAGAAATTTCCTATCAATTCAATATTTAGGACTTTCAATTACAACGATCGTAAAATAAACGAAACAAAATTTATGTCTGTACGTATTTACTTGCTTGCGCATCGATCGTGAACGGTCGCAAGTTACGATTCGCGAGATTTAGTATGCAGAATATGTAATAAAGATTTAAGTTCACGGTGTAAAAGAAAGTAGAGGAAGAAGAAGTTGACGGGATTGCGAAACTGCAGAAAACTAGACGGAGCAAATGGAAAGGGCGGAGAGTAATGGCAATGATAAAAATTAAAAGTTCACGAACTACGTCCGAATGCACGGGAGCGAGGTGCAATAAATAATTTCTAGTTGTTGGTGATGAAGATAAATGGAGGAAGTCGCTGTTAATTTTGCTTCCCCTGTTCATTTTAATTTAATTCCAGCAGTGAATTTGTTGCATCATCGGGTTACTAAAGGATACCGCACATCAACGCTGGTGGAATATATATAAATATTCAAATATCCCGCCATGCACTCACTCTAAAGGTACTCTTTAATTAAATAAATTTTCGATTTGATTTAAATATCGTTTTCAAAGGTAATATGTTTAGAGAGGTAAAGAGAATGAAAACGCTTTTTTTTTGTTACATGAAAATGTATATTAAATAAACAGTGTATTTAGATACAAAATGAATGAGTTTTACCAAATAGTTTTAACTGTCATTTTCCACTTTACACTAAATTACTTCATGCTTAAAGTAGATAATAAGCTTTACTTGATGTCATTATCCACAAGTTAATGGTTGAATTAGGAAAGCTGTGTGTTTGTAGGAAGAAGTTTAACTTTAATAGGAATGTATGTGTTCAATGTGTTATGATGAGTTGGCCTAAATTTGAATATTTTTTATGTGCAATGGGACTAGAAATTGCGGACTTCGATATATCGAAGCTTTGTTATAAAAGGTAAGGTTAACCGAAGTAGACTATATGTTCATTTTATCATATTTTATATGGTACCATTATTTCCTGATCTTTTGGTTGAATCAGGTAAGCTGTGAGTTTATTTGGGCAGATCTCCATTCAGATCTCCATTTGACATCATATACAATTTCCTTTTCATCTGCTTGCGAAGAATTTTTGTCCACAAAGAAAACTCTTCTCCTCCTTTTCACTTTACGCCTTCGGAGTTGGTGGTGTGCCTCTAGGTGTGCAATATTTAAGGGTATTAAGGGTAATACAATTTTACAACCTCAATTAATATAAAGTAATTTCTTTGTAGATCATAACAAAATAACATTTTTTTTTTGGTATTTTTTTCTTTACCTTATAATTACTTTATATCAATGCAAGATGCAGATTAAACAGATTCTATCGATGAATGTAACCGATTAAAACATTTCCTTCATATTTTGAAAATGGAATCACAATGCAGAATCGACAGATTCCAAAAAGGAGCAGTGACCTGACAAGCAGTTTTTTTTATCAAAAACATACTATAGTCCTCTATCAAAACTCCCACTTCCTTAGATAATAACAACAAAATAGTCTTAGTCGTAACGTTAAATAAAGATATAACAACTACATAGTGGTAGTTTATATAATAAAACGAACACTTCATCTTAGTTTAACGCATATCTCAGAATACATCATTAATAAAACCAGTTTGATTTATTTACAAACCTAATACTATACATCAAATAATACAACGGAATATTACACAGGGACTCAATTTTCCATCCATATAACATATAAACAAATAAAAAATATATGTATATAAGGATAGTAACAACAAAAGTTACAAACGGTTATTGACCATAAATATTTTTGCCCTTGTTTTGATTATTATTCCAATAATAATATGATCCAAAAATAATTGTTTTACTAAGTTTATGAAGAAATACGTTAAGTTGGTAATACTGCACCAAGTTTGTTTCTAAAAAATCTTCCATTAATGTTACACAAAATTTACCACCAAATGTTAGGTTGGCAATAAACAATTTTGGAGTGTGTATTCCTTAACATTCTCTTTATTTTCGTAGTTAATGTAATTAAAACCCGATCCGCATTTCCTCACCTTCGTCTCTTTGGTGTTACAATAACAACAATAACTGGTGAGAAGACATATCCAGTGCGGTTTATCCGAGCACATAAATTATCCAGAAAGTTCTCCGAACGACCTCCGCCACTTTGCGTAATTAAATGTTTCCACCTTAGCAATTAGCTTGCGATTCTTGCGTAATTGAATCGGGAATGAATGGTGGCGCGAAATTAATTAAATAAACAGGAAGTGTGAGGCTTCAAAAAAAAAACAATAGATGAAACGGAAACAAATTACAAATTACATCGACGTTTAATTTATCACCAAAAAAAAACATTAACTCCTCTTCGTTTATTAATGATGTCCACTGTAATCTGTATCAATTAATTAAGTTTCACTTAACATCACAATGAAGATTGCCTAAATAAGAAACATCCGTTCTTCATTGGACGCTTGATTTATCGCGCCGTTTAAATTTTCCCCTTTCTTTCGATGCTTTATTAATGAACCTCCACCCAAAGAGATTGATGTTGCAGACATGAGGAGTTGCGTCTCATTAATTACTTAACTTTCGGCGGAAAGGACTGCAAACAAATTGTTTATGGAAAGATGTGTTTGTGTGTTTCAGGGCTTTTCCGAACAGACGGACAGAAGTTGACTGGGACTATGTGCGATTACCAGTTCAGCAGTTCTGATTATACGCCGAGCCACGGGAAATTCTATTCGCCAAGATATCCTTCGAGTTACCCGAAGAATATCCGCTGCTCCTACCGCTTCAGAGCCAGGTTTGTATTATTCAACTACCGGATAAGAATCGCTGCTTTGAGTCACGAGCGATATTGATTTTTCACATCTATCAACGGCACAAATTCTGTAAATGCCTTCTTTCAACATGACTTCAATTCAATTCGTCACAATTGAATTCATCATTTTATATCTCGGTGGGAAATAATATGAAAATATTTGCAAAAAAAAGTTATATTATAACAAATGATTAAATCTTTCTTTTAGAAATGACTTTTTGATTAAAATAAACGTGGAGACATTGACTTAAAATGTTTTTTTTATAATTTTTTTTCTTAAAATTTTCTAATTATCATTTGCATCGTTAATAATTAATATTTAAAATAATTATTAAATAATTACAAAAATTAAAAATAACAAGTAATACTAAATTAAATAATGAATTTTCAACCAGAAGGATAATTTTTTATAGTAATGTTATTTAAATATATATTTAAATTTAATGTGAGATTAGTATTAAAATTTTTATTTTATTTTTTTAAATTTCCAAACAGTTATAAATTATAATTGTAATTTGTTTTTGTTTGAAGAAATTTGTTTGTTTCTTGGCTATGTTGTCAATTTAAAACAAAATTTTCTTCATATTTCCTGTAAATTTAATTTTTAGTTCAATTTTATTTAATAATAAAATATCTAATACTGTGGCTGATTGGTTAACTAAATGAATTAGTTTAATTTCAATTTAAACCTTTTTTAACTTTCTCTAAAATTTCCATATTAATTATTGGTTTATATAAAGTTATAAGAAAAATTATCCTGAATTTTTTAATTTTGAGTAATCTGGGCATAAATTTGGTTTTTCTCTAAGAAAGTTCAAAAGGTGAAAATATGGTTAGTATTTTTGAAAAAAGTAATGATTATTATTTTATTATAAATATAATTGAAGAAAACACACATAAAGTATAATTTAACATGATTTAGTCAAGAAATGCTAAATCGATCCTAATTTAAAGGTGCACAGTAATTATATAACTAAATTACATATTTACAGAAAGATTTGTATTATTTCAATAAATAATCACTAGTCAGTTGTGATTTTGCATGTAATAAATAATTGAAAAAAAAACTAAATTTTAATTCAGAAAAACAATATAAAAAAATTGATACACAAAATTATTTCTTTTGTAGACATAAAACATTGTTTAATAAATATACAATATAAATGTCATGTTACAAAAATTCAATAGCTCGAGTAAAAATATACTAATAACAGTTATTAGTATATTTTCAATAAAAATAAATGACTGGATGAATAAATGTTTTTTTTTCATTAATATAAATTAATTGCTTTAAAGCTCACTATTTGCGGATTCAGTTGAAACCGGAAAAGCAAAAACAAAAACAGCGTATTTGTTTTATGAATTTCAGAACGCAAACGAATGCACTCTCATTTGCTGCAACACCATTAAAATAAATTGATTAAATACACAGAAATTTAATCCGATCCTGGAAAATGTTTTATTTCCATGCATTTCAAATACCCTTGAGTTAAACTTATTTTATCGAATAAATACATTATACACAAGTGTTTAAATTTTTTCAATTATCACCAATAATTAGCAATAATTAATTAGATGATAATTTATGTGATTATTATAATTTATTATGATAACACTTTCAATAATATTATTTTGATACATATTATAGTTGTTTTTTTCTTTTAATTAGTAAGATATTAACAAATATTCTCTATATATAAGTACAATATTTTATTTTTAAGTATAATTATTATATTATAGAAATAACTAATTTCTTTTTCTTTAATATAATTCTATTTAATTATTATGAAATATTTTATATAAATTTAAGTTAAATGAGGAATGAGTATGAAATTATTTTGAAACGTAATTTATTTAAAGTTTCATAGTATTTATTAATTAGTAAAACATGTTTATTTTTCTAAGTAAATAAGAACATTTCACATCTTTGCTAAGGACACCACTTGGATTCACCTCGACTTTAACCTTCAATCCTTGATCCAGAACTTACAAAACCTATTCTCAGTCCATCGCCCTCTGTTAAATACTTGGAAATTTTCCTTGATACAAAACTTGACCTCAATTCCCTCTTCAACCACCTCAAATATTCTAACTAGATCTAGCCATTTCTGATTCCTGACCTTTAGTAATTCTGAAATCCATTATAAATCCATTTGCCGTCTGATACTTGACCATTGTTTTCTCTTCTTTCTCAATACCAGTCATAAAAAGCTTTCTCCAACTACTGGTATTTATTGAAAAATGGTATGATTTTTTTTAGACTATGGTTTCCCTCTTCTTTCCCATTACCGAAATTCAGTCCTAAAAACTTAATATACAGTTCGGTTAACGAACAGTTCTAATATCGAGCAAATGGCTTAATAAACACTTTTACAAACACTTATGTTCGGATAATGAAAACCTTACCGATTGATGTTAGTTTTGGAATATGAAGATTAATTGGGTTAACGAACAATTCGGATAGTATTTTCACAGATCAAACACCCACTATATAAGAAAGTTGAAGTTTCATAATTTTGGTTATTTTGTATCAATAAAAACTGAAATTAAAAATGTCAAGTTTACGAGAGAAGCTGCATAAAACTATAATGGCTTCTGCATCAGCTGTAAGTGTAAACTTTGTCCTATTGAATTGTTAAAAAGGCATTATTCATTCCGACAGTATTGCAAGCGCTGCATGCATTCCGTTTTATGTGGAATGCCCGTTTCGCCGCTTAGGAATTTATGAAATAAAACCGTTATTGTTATTACCGGTTTGCGGAATTGGGAAATAATGTCATGCAAAATACTCTGACCCCTCGCCACCATTGGAACCTATTACCGATCGTTCAGAGAACATTATCCCGCGGTTGTACCATAATTTTATTATAAAGTTTATATACAAACAAAACAAAAAATAATATAAATTTATTGGAAACGCTATTAAATTTAATTTCTAATTATTGTTTATATTTTTTAATGCTCTAACATTAATTAATTTGCAATTTTTCAACCACTTCTCTGTCCTTGTGAAAAAAAATATTAAGATTATAATAATTACAATATTTACTGTAATAATTATACAATTACATCAAGATATACACTAATGAGATAGTATTTGTTTTTTTAACATATGAAAGTATATAATAATTATTTTTGATGAAAAACATGGCAATCAAAACAATTGACAATGGTAAAAAATAATTCACGCATCGCTAAAATCAAATCAACTTGTTTCCTAAGAGCAAGTGCTCTTGCTTATAGTTAGTTTTCATTCGTATAATTTCATAATATTTTTTTAACATTTACTCCATATAATATCTGCTTCCTTAGTATCATTCTATAAAATACAATTTTTTCTAGTAATTTTTACTAAATAAATCAAAAAAATTACTTTAGTTTTTAGAAACTAGTTTTTACTGCGATTCTTGTTGATAAAAATTAGAAATTTTGACATTTGATAATTATAGTAAATTGTTCTTAGATAAGTGTACTTTACAAATATACTTTAAAACAATCACTAAAAAAATATTAAAAAAAAGCCTATAAAAGTTATTACATCTAGATTACCCATATTTGTTACTATATAACAGATGTGGACAAATGTGGCTATCAGAGCCGCATGCGGCTCCCATTGAAAATATAAATACGTGCATTTAATACTACTTAACTATGGTATGATTCCTTATAATGTATGACAAATCGGAATGCGCATTCAACTCATGCGTGCCGTATAGTGGCAATTTACAATATAGGTCAATTTTCGGATATGGTCCAACCTAGGCGGTAGCCCAATTTCTGTATTTGCATATTTAATATTTAAAGTTAAATGTATTAATGATTTACAATGAACGGATGAATATTTATTCGATAACAGCTTTCCTCTTACATTCCAATATATATCCTGAAATTGTATATTCAGTAGTTTAAAGTGATTTCATTATTGAGTTGTAAAGCTATTATCCATTCAGTTAAATATTAAAGCACTTACACATGGATCGACGTTCACTTTATATTTAGTATATAAATTTTTGATAATCCCATTGACTGGAATTAGAAATTTTAGGTAAAGTTAATTGACATTTCTATATTGCATCATAATGAATAAAATAGTTTAATTGGAAACATTGAATTATTTTTATTTTTGATCATATCGTACCACTTTTGAAATCTATACTGATATTAAATATGAATTCTTTCTTTGTAGCCTACAGTTTTTGTGGGTCTTAAAACAGCAATACCTCACATAATTCAGTTTGGATCTGTGCGGATTCACAATAGTACAGTTTGGAAATTTCATTTTTTTTTGTTAAACATAAATTATAGATTTTTTATCTATACAATAAACAGTATATTATTGTTATGTTTATTTGTATGCGGTTTTAAAGTATTCGATTAGTGCTGTCAAACAGTATGAAATACCCTTTGACCCGCACTATGCAAGGTATTTGTGTACATAGTTATAGTATTAGAAATATTTATTTTATTTGATGTATACATCCCTTATGTCTTCCTTCTCTCTGCAGGTGCTTTCAGCACATATTAAAAATGCATGCTGATTTAAATTCTATATTTATGCTTTGAATGTCTCTTTTGTATATTCAACATTAAACTTGTGATTCACTATCACTTAAATATATTATTTCAGAATTCGGTTAATCAAGGCAAATTACCCTAAATGTGACAAAAGTAAATTCCTATGGATAATGAGTAACATAGTTTTTTCTCATCCAACTAATATTATTATATTATCAAGAACTATAATGCTTTACCATTATATTTCTTATAGTGTTTTATGTATGTTATATGTTGCAACTATGTTGAAGATTAAAGAAAATGTTGTAATTGTACTATAAATTGAAGTATAGATGACATCGTTTTCTTTCTAGACTAGTTTTTTTTTGTGAATATTTATGATAGTTATTAATATTTGGTGTCTATATATTTTCTATCTGAGAGTGTTAGAACTAATTATAACTTTGTGCACAATTAAAACACAAGACAATTTGTCTTTACTTTGTCTAATTATTACAAAATATTCTAAAGAACTTCTGCCACTTGTAATAAATAAATTTGTAAGTACGTTTCCAGCGGCTTATTATGATCATTACAGTACGTGCGTTGGTTTGATACTGTTTGAAACTTTAGACTCAATTTCTTCAGTGTATATATGTGACCTGGCAGAGAAGCATTTGGAAATTGCACGAAGTTAGAATATTGTAATTTGCTTGAATGTATATTTTAGTGGTAAATTAAGAACAAAGGTTTTGCTATTTACTTGTATGCGAATTTATTTGCATAATTGGCGTACACTGTGGCATTATCGTGCAAATATATTTAGATTGAAGCACTTTTAGATTGTTTTGCGTATTAATTAGCTAAACTATATTTTAGGTCAGTTGTTCATTCTATATTTCTTAGCTAAATAATTATTTCAAGGCAGAAAGTCGATAATAGAAACAAAATTATAAATAATTGAATACATATTTCAATACTTACAATTGATAAAATACATAAACATTTTTATTATAATTTATATTTAAGCATGTACAACAAGTTTTTGTTAAGCTTCAATAAATGTTGGATTTAATATACGAATTCGAAAAAACGACGAATAAGTGCACAGCTGATAATGTACATAAAGATTTTGAAGTTTCTAAGTTTAGAAAAATGATGAAAATGCGATATTGACAGTAAGATGTTAGATCGTATGATTGAATCCTTTTACAACCTGTTGGAATAGAGACGATTTGATAAAATAAAAAGTAAACTTTTAAAAAAAAGTTTTAAAAAGTTCTAAGTATAGATTTAAACAACGGTTTTTTAGTTAGTAGTTTGTACAAGTAAATATCATTAAATTTGTATTATGTATTTTGTCTAAAGGGTCAGTTTTTAAAAGAATTGATTTATTGATATATACTGATGTGAGTAAAGTTGAAAATGTTAAAAATTATGACAATTAATAGAATATTATGTTATAAAAAAAATAAATGAAGAAATGTGTTAAAAAAATTTCCGATCAAAAATCCTCTTTCTAAATTTAACAATATTGTTTTTTTATTTATACTACAAATTGCTATACTTATCTATAAATATTTACGTAACACTATATTAATTATACCTTTAACAATTATTTTAAAAATTATCAATAGTATTAGCCTTTTGTGTCTATATTATAATATATTTTAAGGATTTAGTCAGGGTCACAAACCCAAATAATATACAAATTTTACCTCGTTTCTCGAATGGATACATTCTCCATAATTGGTTTTAGAACAAAAACACAACCAAATATCAGTTTTCGAACATAATTTCAGGTTGCGGATAGTATATAGTTTATTACCATGTAATAAGTAAGACAATATAACATAAGGCTTTGATAAAAAACGCATTATTTTTATAATTTACACCAACAATATATTTTCAATAATTGATTTTTATTTGTATCCTATTTATTCAGATCTAATTTATGTCCAAAGAGAAATAAAATCAATCTGACCAAAATACAACTATATTAGAGAAAAATATAAAAAAAAACTTAAATTCTCGAGGAATTAGAATTAGCACTATAAATCTTTAATAAATGGATATTTTTATTTATTATATTTTACTGATAATTGATAATCATGTTTAATTTGAAATAAAAAATAAATCTATTATACAAATGTCTGTATATTTTATTAAATACTGTTAGTAATCGGTTAGCGAACAATTTTGACTACAAATAAATTGGACAATAAACACATTTGCAAAAGATTTTTATGTTAATATAACAAATAAATCCATATTTAATTACGGAAAATATATCCGCCCAACCTTTTTATACATAATACAGTTTTTATACATAACATTATTGAATCTTAATTCTTAGTTTTTCTAGGAAGTTATTTTTATTATGTCAAGTTATTGTTAATTGAAAAAAAAATACCTTTAAGGACATTCCGATTCTAAAAATTAATACAGTTAAATTATAAATTTAAATGAACTTACTTGGTTCAAAAATCTAAATAAGCTTTTTAAGATTTTTAAGGATCAAACTCATGTCCGGATAATAGAGCTTAAGCTGTTTCTTGAATCTATTATGGATTAATTAACAATTCGGGTGGTGAACATAGTCTTTCATGGTATTATGTTCGTTAACCGATCATCCATTAGGTAATCGGTTTTGCTAATTCCCAACTGTTCGAAACCGGACTAATACATACAAAAACAAATCACACAAAAAGAAATTCGACTGTATAAATGGAAAACAATAATCCTGTATACTATTTATAGAATTTATTTATATTTTGCTCTATCAAAACTTAATTTGTTTTGAAATATTCATACCGGACTATACGAGGTATTGCTGTATTTTTTAATGGTCATATTTCTTATTTTATAAATACTCATTATTTGTATAAATTTCTTAATATTATTAAACATTTCATACAATTGCATTACATAATTATGTAATACAATTTTTACAATTGTAAGGCTTCTTTAATCCAATTTGTATTTATAATAAAATGAGATGATGAGAAAGCGGAGAGATGCTGTATCAAGCCCGTACACCGGCTATAGCGAAGAATGCAAAAATAACATCTGCCGTCTTCGACATTGACCAAATAAGCAATTTCGCAACGAAAATACGTAATTTTAAATATGAATCTCAGGTAGTACAGGGATGAGTGAGTAATAGAATTTTTCATTAGATTTCTCTGCAGGAGCGCCCGATACGTGCACAGCAGGAAGCGGCACTGAGCACTGTTTAAAAAAAGGGCGTTTCGCGGAAAATAATCACATTCGGTTTTCATTTATTTATATTAAAACAAAGATGAAAAGGGCTCGGCTCCCTAAACGTGCCACAATAAATCAGGTCGCCGAGTTATGTTATTTACGGTCGCATATGTTGCGCCCTGAATTCCCTCTTACGTCCTCTTTTTCTCTCACTACACTCCTTTTTTTTATTATTGTTTCCAACGTTTTTATGCCGTCTGGGATTGAGAGAAATGGCACCGTTGCCCTCAGGATTGTAACATTGTTAGTGTATCTATACATCCTTTAATTATACCTTACAAATAATTGAATGAATAATATTTGTTATATTTTTCATTATTATTTAAATTATTTCAGGATTTAAATATTATTTTGAAATAATTGTTTTATTTTATCTGAAAATAAACAGGATATTTTATTTCACAACGTTCATGTCATCCAATACCCTACAATTTGTTTTATTTACATGTTTAGTAAATTGAATTTGCAGCTTTATTTTACAAATATTTATTGAAATGTATTGAGTTCAGTCAATGAAAAGTGATATTGTTATAATACTATTAAAAATAAGGTATTCAAAATAAATAATTTCTCTTAATCAATTTAAAAATCATTTACAGCAATACCTCGCATACGCCGGCTCGCATAGTATTTTTTATGTGATCTCACATTTTTAGTTTAATTTGGTTTTAAAAAGAATTTAATAAAAAAAATATTATTTTATTAATTTGATCATTTTTAATTTAGTATTTCAAAATTGATTGGACTTCTCTGTCTTCATAAATTAATTTTGTCTTTAAAAGTATGCGTACAAAGAGAATCATAGGATGAGCGGCGATTATATCCGCCCAACCTTTTTATACAGAATATTATATTAAATCTCAGCTCATAGATTTTCACAGAAGTTATTTTGATTTTGTCAAGTTATTGCTACTACATAACTGAAAATAATGTAACAGAAAATATCAGACATTTGATGTGAAATAGATGTTTTAAGCTAATATATTAAAAATATGTTACATTTTGTGAACTGATTTTCAAATAATAAAATATATTGTTGCACATTATCGTTATTCGAGTACTCTTAATTCAATAATTTCAAAGAAAATGCAATACAAAATCTGTGTTTTAAAGTCCTCGCTTCGTCCGGTTTCAAGCAGTGCCAAAACAGATTACCCAGACTATTTTAGATATTGTTTTAATTAAGAGACTAAGTTAAAATATAACTTTGAATGAACTAATTAGGTTCAAATAACTAAATATGCTATACTTCATTGACCTCAATTCATTTCACTTGTAAGTATAAATCTGCTAAAGAAGAATGAAAGAAAACGAGCAACAAAAAAATGAACGTCCTCCATTGAGTAGAATTAAAAGAGACGTAATGCATGATAATATCGAGATTTATCGTGGTTATGGATTTCGCGGCTTTACTTTAGATTAAGGTAGATTTATAAAGCAGCGGGTGCCTGGGGTGTAATCCGGGTGAATGAATAGAGCACAATTAATTTGAATGATCTGGTGGTTTTTTTCAGGCAGAAGGAGCGGATCCGGATCGTGTTCGAAAAAGTGACCTTACAGAAGGGCGACCTTAGGTAAGATTTTTGTGATATTTCGTATACAATCTTGTTCTTCCTCGTCCTCCTCAACCTTTTTTGTTGTTCCATCGATTCTCTTTTCAACGGGTTGGTGCATACGGAGAGAAAGAGTGTGTGGTACTCTGGCAGAAGCGGCTTTGCGTGGAATATTTAAGATAAAAACAAGCGAGGAATGCGACCTCGCGCACTGTTTTATAGCGACGTCTGTCACGTAACATATTTCTCTCACGCGTTACTGAAATGTTTCCTCCGTCATCCTGAAAAATACTTGCCCCTTCTACGCCATACATTTTTAATTCCTCTTGTAAACCAGGCCACATCGCTTCACTCCGCTCATACATTTTTTTTTATCTGTATTCAACTCTCTACTTTTTCGTACTTCTATTTTTCATTATAAATTTCCTCAACTTTAAATCAGTTATTATCTATTAAATTTCACTGTCTATTTACAAGAATGTATAAATTCTGTAATATAGTTCGAATTGTTACAAGTAATTTCACTGTTCATTATACTCTTATCTCTCGGTTTACACGGTATTTCCTTTACACGTTTTTGCTTTTACATGGTTTAATGAAAAATTAAAAATAAATCTTAAAAATAAAATGGTTATGATCAAAATGAACATTTGCATACTCTTCTATTTACACAGTTTTACATTCAAAAAGTTACAATTTTGATTGATGAATATGGAATTTTATAAATGGAAATACCATAGTTAACATACTTATTCAATTACTGTAAACTCTCCTACAACACGCTACTCTTATAATGCAGTTTCCATATAACACGGAATAAAAATGAGGACAGCGACTTCTATTTAATACAACTTAATTACATTAAGAACAATATTATATTACATTATTTTGAGAATATACTTTTAAGTTTAGATGTAAAGGAAATAATCTGATTTGTACGAATTAATCTAAACTGTAATTTAGCCCATATAACACGGTACTAATTAATCATGTTATAGAAGAATTTTCTTCATGTTAATGATAACTTTATTTCATAAGATATTCAAACATAAAAAGCGTTAAAAATTACATAATTAATTAAATACGTTTTAATAAATGTAATAAATGGTTTTATAATTTAATACTATTTTATAATTGAATTAGTATCTTTTGGGAATTAAAGACAATTTTATAAGTAAAGCTTAGAATATTTATACAATTAGTGTAATATAAATCAATAAAAGTCATATAATAATTAAAGTTTCGTTTTTCTTTAATATTAATTAGTAGATTCACAATATATCAATTATTTCATAAAAGTAAATTGAAAACATGTATTTTTTTTTAAATTCAGTTTTTTAATATTTCTTAATTTTATTAATTAATGTAATTATTTTTCTATCAATTTTTATCGTGAAATTTTGATATAATTTTGAAATCTATAATATTTCTGAAATAGAATTAATTTCAGAAGTATTATATAGATTTTACTGTACTTTTATTCCAGGTCGTCATTGTTTGTAGTGTACGAAGCAAATAAGATTAACCCAATTTGTCTAAATGTATTCAGTTTCACATGATTTAAAGGTAAATTCCAACGTAAACAGAATTAGTTATTGGAAATGCTTTATATACAATCCTTCAACATCATTACATAATAAAAAATCAACATATTACAAATATATTTCTAATTTTTCTAAATAAGCAACATGTAATAATATTATTTTCGACTACTTTTATTTTATATTTTTTAAATATTTTTATAAGCACTATTTGGACCAATATCTAACTCAAATTTCATAAATCAATTAACAAAAATATAATCATTTGTTATATTATTGTATAGTTAATATAGTTAAACATCCTCAGTCAAGGAAATATTTTGGATGGAATAACCCTTTGCCCACTCGGTGCTAATGGAATAGTAGAAGTAGAAGATGATTTGTATATATGAAGTAATATTTAGGTAATGCATAAATCTGAATGAAGATGTATTAAAACTTTCGTTGTTTATAAGAAAAAATATTATTAATGCTATTGTATAATATTTGTTAAAAAGTTAATTATTGTAATTATAAATTTAAATTCAAAGTAATTTTCATAATTAGTACGTTTTCTTAACTTTGTAGACTTTAAGATATATTTTGTTTAAGTTATAGAAGTTATATCGAAATACGAAAGTTAGTCTTTTAATCTTGGTACTCGATTGAACCCTTTTCCGGCTACATGAACAGCTTTATGCATTCTTTAGAAGTTAGAAAAATGCTTACTAAAAAGAAAGTGCCTGTACGAAGGTTCAAATTGGAAGGACAGTACAAACAATCTGCTAAGGATAACTTAAATAAGTCAATGTTTGCACCTGTTCTGAATTTTGACGATAGGCTGGCTTTCTTTTTCAAATTTATTTAGTAAGTTTTCTCTCTGTTTTCCTTGTTTCCACTCACCCAACTTTACTTCGAGCCGACCGTAATTTTTGCAGCGTTTCAATTTCCCTTCGAAAAGGTTAACGGAGCATGAATTTACGGCCTCGTTCGAGTAGGAGGAGGAGGGTGCATTGATTGCGGGACAAATTAATACAAACCCGTCTAAGTTATTGGTGCTGTGCCAGTTAGTCTCGACCTCGAATGAATGGCACACAGTTTCAAATAACAGTAGTTATGAGTAACGTAGTTTCTGAAACGTATGCACAATGATTTAGTCCGTGGCGAAATTGCCTTTACTTCCAAGTTCCCGATGCTTTTGAAAAAGTTGGAGAGAGAAAAAAATCTAGTGGTTTTATGCATGATGTGTGTAATTTAATGTTAAAGAACAATGGCCTGTGAACACTGGGACACTTCGATTCCATCATTATCATAATTGATTGGCTGCATCAGCAGAACTCGAGCAGGTCGAGGACCCTGTTATATAATGCGATCCTTGCGAGGGCCATACTCAACTAAATGCCTTTAATGCAATATGCAGAAAACGATTGTCCGCTTTACGTTTTCCTTATGTATGCATCTCATAAAGTAGTAGTTCCAGTAGATCAGTGGTTTTCAAACTTTTTATTATAACAGTTATAATATTTTTTGCTCAAAAATAGTAACAAATCAATGAAAAATATAATAAATGGAGAAAATCAAAAGATATTTTTATTTTTTTTACGGTTAATCTCCTAAGTTAAACATAATTTATTTCTAAAAACCGAAACCATTTTTTACCATAAGAGTGAACGTAAAATTATATAATTTGCTGCTTATTCACATATAACTGCTTATAAGTCAATTAATTATTCTGTCTTTCCTTCATTAGATAAATAATGTATTTTTATTTTAATCAAAATATCAATTTCTAATATTGTGTTACATTTAATTAATTCTTTTGATAGAGTGGATGAATAATTCTTCTTATATCAGTTTGAGTCTTTTGAGAGCTTTAGTTCTTGCAAACCATACCACTTTGAAAACCACTACAATATACTCATTTCATCCCAAATACTACAGCAAAGACATTATTTGAATTCCGAAATGAGCAATTTGTCAAATCAGAAACAGGACTCAAAAAAAAATAAATCGAAGGCGTCTTTGGGGAAAGCGAAGCAATTTATGTATTCCCCATTCTTTCCCTCCTCTTATTCTACTTCCACTTGTTTTTTTTTACTTCGTTCACGCCAATCGCATTTTTATCGATGGAAATATAAAGTGTAAAAGTATATATCTATATATACAGATTCGGGAAATACGTTTTCAATAGGTCATGTCTTGTGGGCCGCCAGTGAAAAGGGTCTTTCCTCCATCGTATAACCAACCACCTTGCGCGACTGAAGAGAGCGCCCTTTTCCCGGAAGGCCCGGAAACTTAGACTCTATATCTTCGAGCAACCCATACAACGAATCCGTGCCGTGACAAGCAGCAATTTGATATTTCCCCACAAAGAAACAGTAATAAAATACGTCGATTCAACGCTGCTTTATAAACGGCAGTTCTGAAATAAATAATCATACGTGGGGAAAGAATATGTTTCTTAAATACATATGTACAGAAAGCCCTAACGACACCCTGATTAACGCTGTTGTCACCTTCTTATATCAAAAAAGTAGCATATTACATGATTCTATATAAATAATAAGTTGTACATTGACGTAGATTCAATATATCAATGTAATTTCGTTGATTCCTATACGAAGGTTTAAATTGTATTAAAAAAAAACTGAGGATAATCCAATAGTCCAACTTAGTAAACCAGTGGTCTATTACTGAAAATTAATTGCTTAAATTGAACCAATGATACATAATTAATTTTTAAATATTTTGCCTTCCATGATTACATTTTTGCAAGATTAATAATATATTTTTAAAGCAATAATAGTTATATTATTCTCACCATTTGCATTTTTAAATTGACATAAATTCTATATACCATTATCGTTTCGTTGATTTCTATATAAAACGATTAAATTGTACTTAAAAAAATGAGATTAATCCAATGGTCCATCTTAGGAAACCAGTGGTCTATCTCTGAGTACTAGTTGCTTAGATTGGACCGATGATGGATAATTATTTTTTAATTAGTTTACATTTCATAATTACTTTTTTTTGCAATACAAATTATATAATATAAAATTTATAATCTGTTTCAATTGGCGCTTTCATTCATAAAAACTTAAAGCTGCGATATTACTATATATTTCTTTTATTTTTATTCTCGTTTTTCTCTTTTCTTTTCTAATCCATTCCGAATCCGGATTAATTCTGTTACTGCTCGAGGGTTGCTTAGAAATTCTATTTTACATTTTATTAAAGTTTGCGGCTCCATTGGAATAGAGATGGGATGGATGCTCCGTTTAAATAGAAGAGTCTCCGACCTTCTTCATTGTAAAGGCCATTTGTCCACTTGATTTAGTTTCCGCAACGAAAATCCCTCCATCGGATAACAATACAATTTATTGTATATAGATATGTCTTCCCTTACTCTTTGATGGTGGAACCTGATATATATTTCCACTTACTTTTACATTACAAATAGATTATATATAAAAATACGTGGGAGAATTTTCCTGTATA